TGCGTCGTATTGGAACAAATGCCGGCATTGTTTGCGCAGGATCCTCCTTCGTTACGATTTCACAAGCGCCTTGTTATCCCCGGCGCATGCATACTTTTGTATGACATGCAACGAGACTACAATCCTTTCTTGTATGTATCAACCTTGCGTGCTTTGCACTTCCACGACGCACGTGCAAGAATAAATAAAGCATCAACGTTGAAGAGTGTATCCAGTTCGTGAGTATCCGGCGTGAGATCGAGACGACAGCTCCCGCTCGTATCGTTACCGAGAACAACGACCAGCAGAAATGATATTGGTCGTCTCAGCAAAACTATCTGACCCCCGCCGGGGGGAGGGGAGGGGGACGCGCGGCGAGAAGAGAGCGGGGCGACCGGATATCACGAACCAGCAACGCTCCGACGATAGCCGGCATCTTCTCACAGCGAGTCATTAAACCGGGTGACCCGCGGTTATCGCAGCATAACGTGACGAGAGCCCTGGTAACGAAATTAAGAGCGCGGGCGGTTTAAAGCCGAGTGGATGCGAGATGAAGTCCCGGGCGGGGATGGAAGACGCCGCTGTTGGCGACACTTTCGTCGAGTCGTTCGCGCTGATGCGCCGACAAATAATAAAAGGGCCGAGCGCCGCGTGGTCGTTAACGAGTAACGTTACGAGTCGGCGAGAAATTATGCTGGTCCTTAATTAAATTTCTCGATCCCATTGCGTTATCGCACGGCGCGGACACGGTCTCGAGCGGACGACGAAACGGCGCTCAAACTGTCGTTATCGACATAAACGTTGCTGGCCAGGGCCCGTGGCAATCGACATCGCTTACCACCTTAGCGTGAACCCTCGATAATTACGGTGTACAAACACACGCGGAGAGGTCTTTCATATACACGTACGCGCACACCGTTTCTATATACCACGCCTCGGTGATTTCGGGTCATCTACTGACTCGCGTCTATCTGAATTTCTCAATAGAGGATTAATAGAGATGTATTCTACCTATGCATATGATACTTTTATGTGAATAATTAATTGGCTATATTTTTTATAAACGGAACTCGAACTGAAACTAAAGAATAGAAGTTGCCTATTGGTTGTCGGGGGAAAACAGAAGATTATTAATCATCTAATATTCAAGCGTGACAGTAAAATATAAACCGTATTCCGATATATATTATTGTTATTAATTTACATGTTTTTATTCTCAATAAAATTCAAATTGCGATATATGTTGCATCATTCTTTCAATAAATCATAAATAAAGATTGAATCATAAAGTTAATTATTTTAATCAATATTTAAAAAATAGAAATAACAAAATTTTCAAATTCCAGCTTATTTTATGTCTCCTATATGTGCTGCATATAGTTTCAAAATTAATTAAAAATCTTCAATCTCTAGCAAACGAATTTCAAGTATAAGCTTCTTTGCATAAGCAGAACGAAGAGAATTTCAATTTCGATTTGTGAATGTATATTTACTTCTACATCGCCTACACTGTTTATTTGTGTCATCAAACCTCCATCATAGTGCTCGTCCTGGAAGGCAAACAGAAACTATTCGCTAGCGTTTGCAAAAGTTTTTGCTTTGCACGCTCTACTGAAACAGTAACCGCGGATAAACAAGAAGTACTCTTTCATAATTCCACATACAGTTGACAACAGTCTTCTTGCACATCGAAAGCGGAGCAAGATCGATGCTAAGACACTGACAAGAGTGTTTTCTTGCACGTCGATGAAGGAGGTAAGACGAGAAAGGAGATTGAAGACGCGAAAGAGATGACTTCGCTTCACGATAATGATAGATGGAAACCTCCCCGTCTAGGCTCCATCACGTGGACCGATAAATTATGGTAGGTCGGTCTGCCGTGGAGGTGAAGCTTCCTCATAGGAGACTTAAGGCAGGTCAAAGCCGTCGTGTGGAAAGCTGATAGATTATATAACGGGCGAAGAAGCCACGGAAGAAACACGGGGAACCGATCAAGCCAGTAAGTGGCAAAGTTTGCCCGATTTCGATGTCTATTAATTCTATCAGATGGATCGACATCCCAACGAGAGTCTGCCACCGATTCCGGAAATAAACGATGAGTAGGTCGGTGCAAGATTGCCCGGTGTCGAAACTGCGCAGCGTCACGTGGCCGCGCAATCATTAGCAAGGAAGACAGATGGGCTAATAGCGTTCTCTTGGCACGACCTCGTTTCCAAAACTCATCGCGGACCCTCGTTTGCTCGAATGGCCGGGCACGATAAAGGGACGATAAGACCGACGCTTTTCGGGACCGAGGTTCGTTTCTACTATTCAATCCTCTCGCGTGAAAATTAATATCTATCTTTTCCGATATGTATTTTCGCCGCTGTCTGTAAAATTTATTTTTTATATACACACGGTACGTGTTAATGCAATTAATTGTATCAACAATTGATTAATATTATTTAGAACTACATAACTGTATTATACTTTTATGACAATATTAATTTGTTTGTCATTACTGCTAATTTCTTCTTTAAAGAACAGAATATATTTGTTTAGTTATCGTTTCAAAAATACATTCAATAGCCTCCGATTGTTAATCGATGTGCTATTTCTGAGAAGAATATGATATTATCGAAAATTGTAACCTGCTGATCTCAACCGCAATCTTTCCCCTCGTCTCATCGTTGGGCACCAGCATGTCGAATGTAACAATCAGGAAGCATGAAAGTCGTCACGTCTGAACGGCTCGGTTAAACGCCCGTCGATGATGTAGCGCGGAGCGCTCACGACATGGGAACGAGATCGACGGGCAACCACAAAGGTCCCCGCGGAACCGTGCGAAAGTACCAACGGGTGGAAGCCCGACGTTTGCCTCGATATTGCATATACACGGGCACAAGCATGAAGACAACCGCAGGGGACCGGAAGAAAGTATCTAGTTAGTTGCTAAATCTCCGTAGTAGCGATGAGTCGCGGCAAGAGTTGCAATTTTCGGAAAGCCATGCATCGAGGGCTCGCAATTACAAATTAATAAACGGTCTGCGGTGCCTCTCGCAGCTCCCTTCCGGCATGATTTATATTCCAGCGTGTACGCTAATTACCTCCGTTGACCCGGCGCGTTCCCTCCTCGCGTCCCCTCGGTCTACCGAGGCTGCGCCGTTGCGCGATAGCTTCCAGCGATCTGGCAAACTATAACACTTGCGCCGGCAAGTGTAAAGTTCACCGGGCAGGTAAACCGCAAAGTTTAAACAGCATCGGATGTGTTCGACGCACCCTGCGAGAACCGGTCCTGTTGCCACTCTTTCGCCCCTCTCGTCGTCACCCTTCTGGCTTCCACCCTATTCTTGACAGGTTTGTCATTTGTCATAGCGCACCCCCCGAGATCCTCCCCTTCGCCCACGACGATCCCTTTGCATAACCATTGGAACCTGCCTCTCGACACATGCCATCGGAAAACTTTGCTTTCAGCAGACGCGCGTCGCAACGCGTCGCCACGCGCTACGTGCCGCATATCAAACGTGATATCATTTCCCTTCGCGTTCCTCGCCGAGGTCGAAATGCGTACAAAAGGAATTGACGTAGATTTCACAAGGGCGAAAGCGATCGACGGTCTCACTCAAATTGCGGCTTTGACGCGACTTTGCGCCTTCAAAGATCGATCGTCGGTAGGGTTGCACACAATCAAATAACTCCACGTTCTTATTCCCAAAAGATAGTACGTGATGTAAAATTATTGTATGCTATGTAATTATTGTAAGCTATGTAAAAGAATGCTTTAAACAATGATTTCAGCTCAATAAATTTTTTGTATTTTATTTTAATATATTTATATTCAAATAAATGTTATATTAACTTTTTATTCGCAAGCCATAAAAAAGAAATTTGAATTTAACTCGATATTTTATATATTTTTGTATTTCTAAAATATTTCAAAAAGATTCAAAGAGAATCATCCAACAAATTATTTTATCTTTGAATATTTGTATCATTTTATCATTTAATCATTTTAGAATTATAGCTAAATACTGCAATAATTTTTATTACCACCTGACTTCCGTTTCAAATTCTTTCTTCTTTTTATATTATAAATTATCTAATCTTCCATTCTATAACCATTTAACTGAAGTATAAGTCAGAAAATCGAAAAAGATCATTTCAATGGTCGCATCTATTATAGAATTATCAATGCTATATAACGGAATCCGAATATAGAAATATATAAATTCTCCTCACACTCGCGCAGCCTGGCTATTTCACGCCCAGCAGCATTACGATCGATCTAACAAACTATTTAGCAAATATTTTTCGCATATCGGTGCGTCGCTGGAAGGTATCGTGAGCTATATACATATCGGCTATAAAACGCGATTTATTATGATGTGTATAAGCGAAGGCAATATCGCGCATACCAAGTATCAGAGAATGTAGAAAAGTATTAGTGCAAACGGGGCAGATGTATTAGGCTATTGTTTCCAATATACGTATCGCATTCATGCGAATACGCTATTCGCGAAAGACAGGCTCGCGAGTTATCGCCTTTAAAGACGCGTTATCGAGATAACATTCCCTTTATACGGATTGACGAGCGTGCGTGACGCAACAAAACGGTCGTGTATCGAAGCTAGAAATAATTGAGTGTAAAATACGTTCGAACGACATCAATAATAGCCAACCATACCGTAAGCACGCAACGCACGCGATGTTAAATTTCTATAAGATATATTCAGAGAAAGAGAGAGAAAGAGAAAGAGAGAAATACGCTTGCCCCACATGCTGTGATATCGGCTATTAAATGTAATCTTATCATTCCAATATATTATTTCCACGTTTGCTTTCTTGATACTTAATGTACAGTTACAACCGTGCTATTTCACGATTAACGTGTTCGTGTTATTTCGCTACTTTTAGTGCGATAAATATCGGGATATCTTTATTTGTGGCTCGCATGTTCATAATTATTACAATGACATGATATAGATAGGAATATGATATATCGAAGTACTATTAAAGAGAGTGTCCATTTTATGTCTATTTTATGTCCATTATTGTATAAAAATAAATCCAGAAGATATGTTCTATTGTTTTATCACAAATCTCGACAGTTTTTCAAATCGATCTCTTTTTGTAAGTTAATTAATTAGTATTTTTTTGGATTCTAATTCGGACGCGTTCCATCTATATTCTCGCTGTTATGGGATTACATTACAAATCTGTATATTCCTCTTTATACATGATACAGATAGATGATACGGATGAAAAGTGTCGACAGTCAATAAATGTTTTGCTCATCACTTGCGCGCTGACATAGAAACGCCAAGCCCGATGGCGCGGGAGTATCCACGGTCGTGCTAAAAATATGAGAAGAGCATTCGGGGTATACGGCTCTCATCCACGCGCGAACGACGAACAAAACTTCGAGAGGCATAAAAAATGTAGATAACGGCGGTTCCGGCGCGTCGGAAGCGAATCGCTTAACGGTTAGCGCCGAAACGAATGACCGGCGCGGGGTTGGAAAGCAAAGTCGGAATAGGGTTAAGGCGATGAGGGCGGTAAGGGCGGCCACTTCCTTGGCGCAAATTATTGTAATTTGCATCGGTTAACTCCGTAATTACTTGGGGTTACAGGTTAAAGGGCCATTACCGCCTCCTCGCGGGCACAATACCTGCGCGAAACCGACCTCCGGGTTTCTCCCTTCTGTTGCCGTAAGCGCAATCAACACCTATCGTGAAACGGACGCGCTCCACCTGTGTACGTGCGTACAGAGAGGGTATCGCGCGTACTTTCTCTCGGATAGTAGTAAATTGGATTAAGAAAAATTCTGTTTGTTTGAATGAGACATTAATAGACTCTAAGTTACCGAGATTTTAGAATAAAAAGAGATCGATTCAGACATAATAAAAGTTTTCTGTTCCTTTTTTATTCAGTTTTATTTTTACCTAATGATAATTTATAATTTAATTATTTTAATAAACAATACCTGAGAGAAATCATGTCAATTCCTCGGCAAGCAGGATCTTAAGTGCTAAATTTCTATCAAATTTCTATATGAAATAAATTCAAATAATTAAATAATTCACCACGAGGAGAATTACGAACGTAGCGGTTCTACAACAAATCAGTTCGATAATCAAATGCTTTGATATCGATTAAAAAACTCTTTTATTATCCGCCCCCTCCCCCACGGAAAATATATATTTCCTGTAATATAATTATTTGAATTTATTTTATATATAGACTCTTTTTCTTTTCTACTTGCCGAAGAATTGGCATGACTTCTGTCATTTATTGTTTATTAACATGTACTCGGCTTGTATCAATGTATTATTTAATTATTTTGTTATTTAATACATAAAAAAATGTCGAACTTAATTCAATACTTTCTCGTTTTAGATAATAAAAGTAAGTTTTTAGATTAAAGCAATTCCTTTTATATTAAAAAGTGAAAAAAATAGCATGAAAAATTCCACTTGATTGTATAGCAAATATTTGATTGTTACACTTTTCTCGTTTTCACAGAATGAGTGATCTTCACAGAATAGTGATCTTCTATCATTAATTGATTATTCTCGTTAAGTCATATTGTTTGTGCTAAGGGTGTCAGTCCGTTCCAGAAAATGCGAAAGCATTTCACAAAAAGTAATTGTGCCTCTGGGTACACTAACGCACATTCGTATGGCGAAGAATAGGGCGCGCGAAACAACCATTCGGCCCCCGACAGAAAAGCTTTGTGACCTGGGAAACTTCTCAACGTAAATCCGGGTTAGGATTTTTCGGAATCACTATGGAGAGACCGACGGTCGCTGTTGGAAAATCCTGAGAAATACTTTGCAAGAAGGATAAAATCGGGAAACTCATTTCGACGATTTGCCGATGCTTTATGTTACATATCTAAGTTTTAAATGCATCGCATTGCATTTTCAGTCATTCAAGAAAAATCACAAATTTTGTCACTTTATTATAATAAAAAAATTTGGAAATGAAAATACATTAGAATTTTTAATATGTTAGATTTTAAGATTTATTGCTATTATCGATGAGAAATGGGAAAAACAACAGAAGAGAAATTAATTTAGTGGCACAATTTTAAAATTATTTTTGTATTTTACAGATAATAATTATGTTTTGAAATATATCGTTTATTCATTGAATAAATAGTATCGCAAGATATACATATTCTTTAAATAATTTTTAATTCTTTTGCATCTAACACATGCAAACTTTCCAGTTTCGAATGAACCATGCGTCTTCTTTACATACACAATGAACCTCAACTGAGCCTTGTAATATAGCGACATGTCACGAGCACCGGTCGTTCTGCTCACCGGTCGTTCTGCTCAGCATGCTGCATTATATGATTCTGCAGTACCGATGCTGCTTCAAAGAAATATATGGAGCGTCTCGACTGGACGCTGAAGAAATTTAACGTTCCACTTTGCCATTATACCATCTGCTGTGTCATTAAAATTTCCCCACGAAAACTCTCTTCAACAGGGACTTAAGAATGATCTCACAAATTCTATATTAATTTACGTAATGTGCTTGGTCGCAACGCATGTATAATGCGTTTGCAAGGCCTGCATACTTAATAATGTTGCGCAATTAATAAATTAAAAACATTTTCGTTAGAGGAATTACTCATAAATATGACACGACAATCCGTAAATTGAAATAAATGTATAACTCCATGCAAGTGTAGAGCAGCTTTTTATGTTGTTGTGCTAAATAATGAAACAATTATAAAGGATGACAACCTTTTAACAATAAAACATTGTTATAAATTATCCCGTATTGTCTGAAAACTGTTGGAACTACCGCAAGATTTCAATGGTTATTACGGAAATACAGTTATTAAATTTCTTTGTCGATAAATAATTAATATAACGTGACACGATTTATTTCACAAAAGCCTCTTTTTATGTCACACAATAGGTACGCGATGTTTATGGTGCGTTATTTCTCTTGCGAAAATACATAGTGTTCGCCAACGTGGCACGCCTGCAAAACAGATCGAGCGTTTTTTTGCCGTTCTTTCGCGAAAGTAAAAAGAGCGTGGAGAGTAACGCGCGATAGCGAGCGCTGAATATAATCGAGCCACCGGTTGCCTTTGGAGAAAAGGAAACCCGCGGCGTTCCGTACGTTACAGAATCGATCGAAACGAGATCTTACGAGCATTGCCGGTATTATTACAGCGTACACCATTTGCTACCACCATTATCAAGTAATATCGTTTCTAACGCTCTCGCCGACATATCCGCCTCGTTTCAGTAATAAGACCAAAAGGAAGAGAAGAAAAAAAAGGGAAAGAAAGACGCGATAATAAACGTCGCGCGAAAGAACTGGCGCGACAACGAGATTTAACGGAGAACGAGAAACTCTCGGAAGTAATCAAACACCTTGAGATTTTCGCGCGCCGGAAGTCGAGTAATAGCCTCGCTTCGTCTCTCCCGGATTCGTTGTCGCGGGCGATAAAGACACTCACAGCAGCAGCGGCGGCGGCGGTTGCCGGTCGACGATCTTCATGGCGCAGCAAAGCCGCGTCATTTTTCCGGCCGGCGCGGCGGGCGGAAGTAAATCTGCCTCGTTCGCAAATCGGATGGGATCTGGCTGCCGCGTCCGGGTATATCCAGACGCGGGCAGATTGTGACGATTCCCGAGGATCGCCCGGGATTGGCGCCGTCGCCGCCGGCGCGGGAGAAACGGACGACTTTTTCGGCGACTCTTTCCCCCGCGCCGTGATAAAGCGAAGTTAAAGGCGGCTGATATATCGCGCGCCTCGCGCCCGACTACCCGGAAACGGTAATAAGTCATGCCGGTCGTGCGGCTAACGGGACAGCATTAAAGATTCCTGACTTACGGCGGTCCTTATACGCTACCACCTGCCAACCCGGCCCGCGTATAATACGTTATGCCTTTTGCGTTGCGGCACGGCGCACCACTCGAAATTTCATGACTATTCGTACCGGTACCCGAGTCGCAATGTGTCTCGTCGTGTCCACCTACCTAACTGTGTTTGGTTCGCCCGGACGGTAGGGCATACGTCAAGATTACGTTGTATGTTGATACCGACGATTCTATTATTAACTCGAATGTACATAGCGTAGATGCTATCGATTTTGCATTAAACATGTTCTCTACAGCTTTTCTGCCTTGTTTCTTCTTAATAATAATGTAGCATGAACGAATATATTTGTAATTTTAATATAATATATATTTGATAGATAAAATTATTAATTTTAATTTTTAAGGCCAATTTTACATCAAATATTTTTTATAAAATGGGTTTAATAATTGGAAACATCTTCCGTTAAAAAGCAAAATGAATTATCACAAATTAGTAGATTGAAATACTGACTTTATAAGTTGCAAATTTTTAAGTAATAGATTAGTCGAAAATTAGACTTGCTCATCAGCTATAATTTGCACATTATGGAACACATCTCGAAGCACGTGAGGTTAAACCACGTTATTACAGACTATTACGTTTCAGAGCTACGCTTGACATATACATTGTCTAATTTTATCAGATCCACACAGAGATGGAATATGCGAATTCTCGATGTGAATATCGTCTGTTCGAATGTACGGACCAACTGCTGGATTATCGCCAGAGTTGAATATGTGATATCCAGATTTTCGGTCGACACTACTCGATTAATTGGCCACTTCGATATTCGAAAATCCAGTTGAGAATTCATTTCGAGAGGACGGCCTTTGAATGTTGAGTATGATTAAAGAGAGTAGCAAACTATTGGCAAGGCTCTCACTGCTCTTTAACCAATAACTATATCACAAAGCATATACATTACTAAAAATGATATCGACATGCGAACTACTGGCCATTTGATATACCGTCATAAATAACGAATATTATAATGAAATTATTACAAATAAATAATTACAATTAATTATAATGTAATTTTTCGTGTTTTTAGCAATGAAAAAATAATTTTATTTCCATGCATACTACATCACAGACCGAATACTTACAAAAGACCAAAAAGTTCTCGACAAACCTAACCCTAACTCGCAATGTTCCGCTACCCCGAAGAATTCCGACCGGCCGGGTTAACCCTCGAAGCTTTTTGCCTCCGTCGGCGTTGCTTAATCCCCAGTAACGAGAGACTGTGCCTTTGTTTCATGTCGTAGTTCGAGACTGGTAGCAGTGACCCACACGCCACCCTCGAACGATCGATCGGTTAGGGCTGATAAAACTGACGGACCTGCCGACGATTTTATCGTCTTGGGGTGCACGACGCTACCGATATACCGGACGCGATAATGCTATGACGCGGAATCACTTGAAGTCCCATTTCTTTCGACCCTCGAAAGAAAGACGAGTTTGCCGTAGCGTGGCTCAAGACGCGTTATCGCCGCTAATCAAAATGCGTCGCATAATGCGTTGATGGTGCCGGTAGATGCTGTGATATTCATAACATGACAGAAATTATCGCACCCATTTTATGCTATATATCAACGTCACGCGACATCGAGCTAATCAAATTTTCTGTTTTTGCTCAAATTATTCACGAGGATTAAAATCGCATAAGAAAGCACATACATATATGTAAATATCTTCCTGATAAAGATGAAAAAAAAATTCCGGAAGCATTTTTCCTGATACTTCAAAATTAAAAAGCGATTTAACACACAAATCATAAATCCATCAAGATTATCGTAAAGACCATATAT